GGGGGGGGGGGAGGTACTCGTGTTTTTTTTTGTTTGTTTTTCTCCCATCATTGGACTCTGTCGTCTGCCCCTCTGGCCCCTATCCTCCACTTCTACTAGCTAGACGACCCAACCGGGGTCACATAGGAGGGGGGGGGTTGGACCCCCTCCTGCGGTTCATGCCTGAGGTTTTTTTATCGCGAGAAGGGTACAGCAATCCCTTCCCTCGCGACTTGCGAAGTCGATTATGGTTTACTAACAAACGAGCTTTGCAGCGGGTCGCTTTCGTCCTAGACCAGGATTTATTTATTGAGAAAAAAGCTCTCTCTGCCGGGACTCGAACTCATGACCTGGCCCTTAGCAAGCTGCGAGGCTGCCCACTAGACCACCGGGGCGACCGGTTGGACGCATGCGGTAGTCATTAGACTAATGACCTCGCATCCCTACAGTAATGTCGGGACGGAGCGAAATGCCGGCATTTGGCCACCCCAGGCTACGTTTCACAATGATGAACCAGAAGCTGGTGATCACCCTTGCGTTTGAGGTTGGGGGCGGGAGGGTGTTCACCCCCATCACGTACGATACACATGTCTACAAGAAGCTGTTCAAGGGTAGCTCGTTTACAATTTGGTGTGTGTGTGAATCTCCGCCGCAATGGACCGTAATATACGGGCGGGTCCCACAACAGGCGAGGTGGCTGGTCCAACCAGCACTCCAATTCAACCGACTTCGGCGGTGTCAAACCACCTCAATCTGTCCATTTCAAGATGCTATATAGTATTGTTGACCGTTACACATATATTGAAGTGGTTTGTCCCAGTAATGCACGCGGATTGTGCAGCGGTTATTCCTTAGCGCACAAGCTTTTTGCCCTCTGGTTTTTGTTTGACAGGCGGGGGGCCCGGGTCGGTGAAGGATGCAGGGTACCCCTCCTGGACGGCACAGAGGGTGGCTAAGGCCCTCCAACGGTTTGATATGAAGTACGGGGACACCACGGCCTTCCTCGCGCTAGGGGCAGGTGAGGGGTCTTTATTCCTTGTCGCGTTTTCTCAAAGAGTCAGTGTGGCGGAGGTCGAAAATCAGTTTTAGGGTTGAAAGAACTTGTTTCATCATGCTGTCATTGCTGCCGTGCAGATGTTTTTCGTTTGTTGGTGCTTTCCTTCTGCCGTTTGCTCTCTCTGTGTGTCCCTCTTTGTTGACTTGACAGGCAATCATGGGATACTCGTGCTGTAGGAGCTGATGAGCATCAAGCCCAGAGCTTTTGCAGGTTACCGTGCTACCCGTTCAATTGTCCCCGAAACGGACGTGGCTTGTTGATTGGTTGGATCGTCTTCGGTGTTTCCTGTGTCTCCGTTTTTTTGTTCAGGCAGCATGAACGCCCCCAGCGCTCGCGGCGGGAACGGGCACGTCATCTTCGAGTCGACGAGAATAGCAGAGGAACTCGTGCGGTGAGGCCGGCCGTACGTCTGATTCTCTACTGCATCGCCGTCCCTCTCTGCGTAGATGTCGTGTGGTTGAGCTCTTCGCTTTTGCGTCCCGCGCTGCTCGCCTGTGTGGCGAACGGTCTAGCTTTCTTGTTTGTAGTTTTGGTATGACTTCCTTGCTGTGGCATTGCGCGTTGTTCGCCCCGTCTAGGGAACAGTCTAGCCCGTGATGCTTGCTCGCCCGTGTTTGTTGGAGGGGACATATTTCGCCTGTTGTGCTCGTACGACGGTAAGTTGGTTGGTCTCTTCCACGTCTCTTTGTTCTGGTCGTTTCGGCAACCGATCTAAGTGGGCCGCAATCTCTCCGAGGATGGTCGGACCTGCTGCATGCCATCCGAATTTTGATTGTCACAAAAGGTGGAGAATTGCTTGATACCAACCCCCCCCCCCCCCCCCCCCCCCCCCCCCCCCCCCCCCCCCCCCCCCCCCCCCNATCGCGGACTTCGCGAGCTGGGACACCGTGGGCAACGCGTGGTTCGCCAGGATGGCGGTGGAAGCCATGCTGGACATGTCCTTCCGGCACGGGGACCGCGCGAACGAGCACGCGGCACCGCCGCCGCCGCCGCCGGCCCCCGCCGCCGGCGTCGCGCCGTCGGTGCTGTCTCCGAGAAAGCTCCCCTACCCGGGTAGCGCAGTAGTAACGGAGAGCGGCGGCACAGGCGAAGGCGAGAGCGAAACGGCAGCGGCTCTAGGCGGCGTGGAGGAGCCGGGGCTCTTCTCGGCGCGGAGGGAAGCGGCGGCGGCGGCGGCGAGAGGGCTAACGCTGAAGGAGACCAAGAGGGCGGACGCGGCGGCGGCGACGGCGGCGGCAGCGGCCGCGAAGAGCGGGGCCGGGGCCGGGAGAAAAGGGGGGGGGGAGAAGCTGCCGGCGGCGCGGGCCGGGGAGGCGTACGGGGGTGGGGAGATGAGGAAGTGGATGTACGACTGGAAGAATAAGAAGGCGAGGGCCCGCCGCGGCCCGATGAACCTCACGGTGTTCGTTTCGGACTTTCATGCCGAGAGGATGGACGCGGTCTTCCAGTGGGTGTTCGGCCTGGAGCCGTCCCTGCTCAGGGGCAAGACTACGGTTACGGTGAGTGGAGAGATGACGAGCCACTGCCGAAGGAGCCGCTGGTATTGCTGGGGCTACCCCACACCGCAGGGGGAAAGGTGTGGCAATACAGTCGAGGTGCCGGTATAATGCGGGTTATATGGTGCGGGTGGGTCGGGATCGTGCGGGTGTTTTTGCTTGACACGACTTAGACCTCTCAATAGTGCGGGTGCCGCACTATTCGCGTAGTGCCTGTATAGTGCGGGTTTGGTCTCCGCCAGGCCCTCTATAGTGCGGGTCCTGACGTCACCCTCCTCTTGAGAGCGGCCAAACACACGCACATTCTCGACACAAATACGCCACACACCCTACCCCTACCGCATAACAGCAGCACAGCATACCATACCCCTGCAGTCGACGAGAACAAAAGAGACGCACACGATGCCATGTGCAGCAGGCGAACTCTGCCTGCTGCAGGACCAAACACCAGTAGCCCCACACGGTCATGAATGCCGTGGAAAATGCGGCGGGAGACTACACGGCAAGTGGGCATCAATCGAGGACAACGATGATGTCGTCGAGGTGACGCGGCTGGATCAGGCGGAGGACGTTGCGGCGGCTATGAGGGGCGAGTCTTCGGACAGAGAGGGGGAGGGGGGAGAGGATGGCGAAGACGAAAGCTTGGGACACGGCCGCGATGAGCCGCCGTCTTAACGCGGAAATTTCCCAGCACTTCGTCCCCCTCGAAAAATACGCGGCAGGCGGCGGTTTGAGCGAGGCCAGCCACTTACTCAAGAGGAGAAGGAATTTGATGATTGAAGCGCATGCATCAAGGCGATCGCGCCAGACTGATGTCAGGGCGTATTTTGGTGGCGCAGGGTGATGAGCCGTTTTGCCGCACACTTTTTTGCCGTGTTTTTTTTTTTGTTTTTTGTCGAATGCCCGCCATACATACATCTAGAGCGCCAGGTGAACATGGGATGGGGGGCGGCAGCGAGGAAATGTTAATGTCAATCGCTCGGAATTCCCTCCCCTCCCCTCCCCTCCCCTCTCGTAGAATAGAAAATGTAACGCGTGTGTGCTATATTTGACTGTTGTTTGTAGGGTGGGAAGCAATTTATATTGGGGTGTACATATGTATGCAGTTCACGTGTGGAATGTGGGTCGCAATTTATTGCACGTTTCCTTCGCCGTTTTTTTCGCGCTGTGTTGTTGCGGGACGTTTTGGTAAAGAAACTGAGAAGCAGCGTCTTTTTTGTTTTGGATTTATTTGTGTTCCCCCGTTTGCTTTTCGCAGTTGAGGGTGTAGTTTGGAGCTCGGAGTGGTTCGGCAAGCTGGTTTTCAAAGGTGCTCCTCGGTCGCGTGTGCGGACGTATTGCATTCCCTAGCTCTTGGCTGGTGTAGCTGTTTTCCTCTGAATTTTTTAATCATTTTCAGGAGGAATCACAGCAAAAGTTATGAGGCAACAACACGGATGAGGCATAATGTGCATTCAGAGCACACTACATGTCATGAATCAAGTATGCTCCCCTCTGCTCTAATTTTCGGTGCATAATTGTGGTTACATATTTTCCCACCGCGGCGCAGCGTAAGTACATGCTTAGTCGTCTCGTCTCACCCACAAACGAACGCAGGCATCTATCCAATATCGCCCCATTTTATGTATTCTCTCACCTGTTGTCTGCTCTATACCGCTGTGCCACCTTCATTCGCCTTGTTGATGGCTACGCACGCCGGGGTGGGGGTAAAGAAAGGAGGAATGCCCTCCCCTCCCCCGCCCCTTGTTTGGAGGTGGGCTGAAAGGGCAGGAAGTGATACGCACATCCATAGGATAGATAAGCTAGGGACCAAGTATTGAGTTACCATTGGCAACTTAGGAAGAACGATTGGCCGTCGGTGATCGGTCCTGTAGAAACAACACTACATCCGCTCGAGCACGCGCGGTCAATGGTCCAACCGCTAAGGCATCCAGTACGCCCCTCCCCACCGTTTGAGTTTGATCTTCTGCAGTTGATGTGTGCGAGTTATTGCTCTCTCTCGCTCTTTGTAGCAAATCTCCGGGATACAGGCCCGTGATAACGACCAGGCACAAAGTGTCGTGTGTATCTGTAGTAGTAGCTTCAACTACGTACGTAGCTCCGAAGGGCGAGAAGTTTGTTTCATCGGAGGTGGGGGGATTGTAGCGTGTGCGTTTGGGTTGCTCCAGCATGCCCGGCGGGGGGACGACATCGAGTCGACCGCTCCACAAAAGAGTTAGGGATCATGGTACCCGCCGGCCAAAGACTCGCTGTTGACGTTGAGTTTCTCGGACCGTACGCGGTGCAACTCCAGCTGGTGCCGGGTCGGCAGTAGCAGCTGTTGCATCTGAGGGGTTGTGTACGTGCTAATACGCTTCGTGTCGAAGCTGGGGAAGACGCAAGCACATGACGACTCCTCGCCGCCTTTGCCTCTCGTAAGCAGTTAACGTGGCCGTGAAGGTCACGCATGACACTCCACACCGTTTGATCGATTTCCCTCCGGCACACACTCCCGCTCTCCCTGTGATTTTCCCTGAAACGTTTTTCTCGCCCCCTCTTTTTCTCCTCCCAAAATGCTGACCTGCAACGAGCAGACCGTGAGCATCGAGACGCCGGTAGAGATGTGGGCCAGGGGAGGGGAGCAGAGAGAGGCCCGTCAAGCCCATGAGAGAGAGGCGGCAGAACAGGCGCGCCAGCGGGCCCGGGAGATCCGCACCGTCGAGGAGTTCCGAGCTTTCATGATGCTCGGGGGGCACCGCGGATACTTCGACTTGACGCACGGGCGGTACCAGGCTAGCCCCGGCGGGGGCTGGGGGGGAGCTTCGTAGTGCGCTTGAGTCTCGAAGCGGCGTGCGGCGTGGAAGAGGGACTTGTGTTGCTTTTTGCTTGCCCTTGTTGCAGACACGGGCTGCCGGCCTGCCGCGCTGTGTTGCTGCTGTTGTTGGTTGTCTTCACATGTGTGTGTGTGCGATAAGGCTGCCACAAATGGCTGTCAGCGATAGTCCCCTGCTTTCTGGTAGCGTGAGAGGGGCGACAAGCTTCGCCACAAAACCTTTTCAGAACCGATCGCGCAGTGCTGTGCGGACAACCCCCAGGGTGAGAAAACGTGCGAGTCACGCCTGTCCTTACCTTCCGTGTGACCCCGGCTGGTTCTTCCAGAATTACACCGATGGGGGGACCTCAGTAGTGCCGTCGGAATAGTACCAGTGCCCAGTATAGTGCCGGTATTTTCGGCAGGCACAGACGGAATGACCAAGTCATTCTGTATCCGGTGAATAGTGCCGGTACGCTGGTCTGGTCCATACCGGCACTGCTCAGGGCCCCCCACTGCTTTATGCCGAAAACGTGCAAGGACCAATGTCCAGAATAGTGGAACGACAAGAAAAAAATCCTCCAAAATAAAACACCTTGTAGAGATGCTTGAAGGTAAATCTGTCTTCTTTCGTTGTTGATCCGACCCTCAACACATGTTAGGCTGGCTATGGTCCGTTCGGGCAAATATTCACAATCTTGTTTTTCGCGATATCTTTCGAAAAAAAACGATTTGGAAAGTGAAACAACTTTGGGCGTGACCGCGGCGTCGAGCTTCGTCGATATCCGATGAGTTTTTGGTGATCGGGTGAAATGCGACATTTTTGACCAAAATGACCCACGGAGCCCCCACCCCCTCATGACCCCATGGAGCCCCCAAAGTACACCACGACCCCCCCTCAACCCCTCCCTTCTTCTACACGTATATGCGTTCAGAACATGAGTTAAACCGTTGTCAATCCATATTTGCATTATTTACACGTTACATATGTACATACATACATACAATACCGCCGTTTACTTTCTACTCAACCCCTGGCTGGTGAAGGTGCTGCAAACAAAGCATGTAGCAATCACATCTGTTCTCTCTAAGCAAGTCCGATACCAAGAGAGACAGCTAAAGCGTTGAGTTGGTGACCATGACGAACGCCTCTACCGCGCCTAAACGCGAGAAACCAACACTACAACA